GTATGTGAGGTTCTTCTTGTAAGAGTTACAGTTGTATAGTCCAGCTTCTCCATTTCTACCACTTAGGAGTGCATATTAGCTACTTCTACAGACTTGTTCCCAGAATAAACCTTCTGGTTTGAATGCCAAATACTTTGGGGAGTCCACCAAAAAGAAAACTTGACCCCAAAGAAAATCGTCCATATTCTTTTGATGCCCGCTCCTCGGTATTTTACATCTAGATGCTTAGACTTCATTGACAACAAGCTGCTTCTATTTATAGGACCAAGTTTTAATATCCACTTCGTTGCTTTTCTATACGTTTTGCTGTAGTTTGATTTTTGTTGTTGTTGATTAGAGGATTGTCGAGAAGAGTTGTGTATAAATAATGTTTCTCTCACTTTTTGAACACATTCAAAATAGTAAATAACTATAAGTTTTTTACAGGCACTCCAAGAACAACAGACTTTTTTGGTATCACAGGCTCTTTTCACAATACTTTTTTTTCATAGAAACATTTTTTTTTTTATTTTTCTGTTAAAAGTGTCAAATAATATATGTAATACAAATTATCGATTTTACTTAATTTAATGTAAAAAAATGTTACATATTATGCAAATTCACGTCTATCATGATGTAATTTGCATATATAAATTTCAGTGAGAGTTATAATGAATTAAAAAAACTTGGTCTAAGATTGAATTAAACAAAAACTGAAAATTAATATAAAAAAGAAACCTCTAAATTATTAATAGTAGCTTATTATTAGTTAAAAAATTTAGAGATTATTAATCGTTAGGTATAATATTGCTATTAGAAAGTAACTGGAAGGTCACTAGAAGCTATTGAGCCAAAATCGATAGCACTTTCTCACATAAAACTATAAATCTGGCATAACATATTTTAACAGATTTGATAAAAATAAATGTCTTGTTTTTATCTTTTTCAATACCAATTCCACTCTATTAATAATAATTAACTATATATATTCCACTATAATTATTCATATTGGCAGATTTTTAATAATAAATGAATGCTTTAATTCATCCTTTTCTGTTCCACTTTCATAGATCTAATGTATACTAACAAACTTTATAGTCAATATTTATTAACCAAAGGCAAATCATTGAGCTGTTAAAGCCAATATAGCCCTAGAGCCGATGTCTTGCTTAAGATGATTTGTGTCTTGGTTAAAGATTTGTTATAAATTTTTTTTATCAGAATACTTATCTATGTAGTTAAAAAAATTATCATCAAAGTTCACATGATTGTGATCAATCAGAGATAGCTGAAGTCACATAATTTTACTCAATTAGTAATCGTGTCTGATATATGTATCCTGCTAATATGGTATATCCCCCTATATATGTACCTAAAATACTAAAAAGCATAATGGACAATCGTAGTAATACAAACTTCCAAACTTGAAATTTGTGACTCAGGACAAATCTGTCCAATAAAAGTATGGGAATGATCGATCATATGAAATTAAACAATTGGTCATGTCCGTATATGTAATAATTGGCCAATCAATTTTTTATAAAATTACAATAATATTCAAAAAATCTTTACTAAATCAAAGATATCTCACGATCTAGCAGTCAGAATTTGATGAATTTTATATTATTCGATTCGTCTCAATGAGACGAATTGAATGGTATAAGTTTTGTCAAATTTTATCCACTAGAACATGAAATATTAACGATATTACAATCTCTATTTGCTTATATATTTCTTAATAAATTTTATTTTCAAATATATGTAAATTATTTTTACTTAATCTATTCAATAAATATACTTTGTTAAATTGATTCTAAATCATTCCTATTAGTGTTTTAAATTATAATAGTTAAAATAATTAAAATTTAACTTATAAAATAATTAACTTATTTGTAATACATATAACTTTAGATTTAAAGCATATAAAACAAGTTAACTTATCTTTTTTTACTCAGCTTTTCATATAAACACTACTTAAACTTGTTTAAACTTTTTCTAAAAAAAGACTAGATCTTAGTTTTGCATCGTTTGTCTTTGGTTTTGACACTAAAATACTTTTGTATATTTAAATTATAGGTTTAACTATCTTAGATTTCTTATAAACTTTGTCTCTAATAAAACTTTTTGGATATTGAAATTATTTGGGATTAATTTTAATAGAAGACTAGGCAGTCAAAGATCTTTTGTTAGCTTTTTTTTTGGAGTGAAATTAATTGGTAAGTTTCAAAAAATCACAAAAATACAAAGCACTTTAAACTGTATAAAAAATTTTTTTTATTAAATTGGCTAAGCCACAATGTCGATCATCCAAATTTGGGTTTATACATCATGCTATACTAAAATCAGTTAGGGAAATACCCCTGGGTACACAAGTCAGACTTTTACAGTATATTATGTAGGTTATAACTAATTTTCACCCATAGTAATATTACCCGATATTATAAAATTTTTATTAAAAAAAAATAATTTATGGTTAAAGGTTAGGGTTAGCCTTGGGTTGAAGTAAAAGAGCTTAAATATACGTAAAATTTGGTGTTAAAAATTTTTGCTTAGAAGTCAAAGCATGATTTTTATAACAAAATTTTTATTAAAACTTTTTTTTATTTTTATTTTTCTCACTTTGATTTGGTTACACAAGAACACAACCGGGTGACATCACCTAGGGTGAAAATTAGCAACACTCTATTATATATATGTAATTAATTATTAAAAATAAAATTTTTATTATTAATCAATTATGCGTCAGATTACAACTGAGGCACCTCAGGTGACCGATCAATAGGTAGGATTGGAACCGTTTAACCGTTTAAAAATAGCTCCATAATTCCGGGCAGAATTATGTTGGTAGTGGGCCGGAATTATCTTAATGCCGGCAAAGTTAAACGGTAAGAAAAATTTTAGGCGGTTCCAATCCCTATCGATAGGTTACGCACCTCACCTGACGATCTGCATCTGAGGCAAGCGTTAGTCTGAGGCACAACATAAATAAATTTTTTGTTGAATTTTTATTAGTTACTCTTAACTTGCAATGAGATCCCTTATAAATTCTGGTCTAGTTACAGGTAATTAATTTATTAATTAACAATTAGAGCTGATCAACAATGTTTACGCTTCGAATTTTATTGGGATGTTAAAAATTTTTTATTTTCTAAAAATTCTATTTTCACTCGGGTTAAAGTCGCCTGATAAGTTATAAAGGCGGTCACGTTCCTAAAATTGATAATATTAGTAATAGTTTGGGTGACTTTAACCCAGGTTAGAATAGAATTTCCGCATATTGTACGAGTATTCGATATAACAATTAGACTTACTGTAGTATATCACTTTATTCAATGTAACCTCTTAGTCGTTATATCCCTCTTAAATTATTAATTTGAAAATAAAAATAACGAAGTTTTAATGAAAATAGCATTGATTTAACAAATTTGATCGAGTCTTGAATTTTACACTATTGACTGTGAATGGTTATTATCCCAAATGATGTGATTTCCAAATCCAGACTATGTAATGTCATGAGTTAGAAAAAGGTTTGGGTCGTAACCCTAGTCCCGTTCATAGCAGGTGGCCTAGGTGGGGATTGTGATTGATTCGTTGTTCCAGGAGCGGGATATCCTCCATATATATTCGATGGAGGACCCATTGGTGATGGTAATGCAACAGGTCGTGACAATGCACTAACGATTGGAGGATTAGGAGCGATTGGTCGTGCTGCTATAATTGGCTGAGGAGCTAGCGGTCGAATGTCAGCAAAGAGACGGTTCGGTAAACTTTGGTTCTTTTTGGCTTGTGCAGCCAACAAACGCTCTATAAAATGAAACATGTACAAAAAAATTAACTATATTCATAAGATCAATCATTGTAGTCGATAAAATTATTGGACAACACATACCAGCAGCACTTCCATGTCTCTCTCCTTTACCATCCTTTTTGAATGCATATGATACGGTGATCGATTTATTCATCAAATATTGACCGTTCATAGCGTCGATTGCAGCATCGGATGAATCAAAATTATCGTAAGAAATAAAGCCATACCCTTTACTATTTCCAGTATCTGGATCCCTTGCGATCTATAAAAGCAAAAAAAAAGACGAAAATCAAGTTCATATTAGTTAACATATAAAATTTATACACTTGACCCTCGCTAATATCAACCCATTTGGATCACTTTTATATTCATGTTAATAATGATATTAATGAGGAATCATATTAAAGTTGATATAATGATATAATTTTAATATAGTAATTCATATTATTGTTTAGGCTGATATTAACGAGGTTCAGGCGTACACAACACACAAAGAAGTGCAAGCACCTTAGGAGTCTGCACAATAACACCGAATGCACTAAAGGTATCATATAGCATTTTCTCGTCAACATCGGGATCCAGATTGCCGATGAATAATGAAGCGCCAACATCCAAGTTCTTTTTATCAGAAGTTGCCTGTTAGATAGAAATCATAAATAAGAATCATAAACGTAGTGTTATCAACTTTTTGCTTCCAATGGGTTTTATAGTAGTAAAAGTTCCAATAGTACTGTTAATTTTGACTTCCAGTGGCTTCCATTGACAATACAGATTAAACATACCTTATTGACACGAATAGGTTTTCCATATAGTTTAATTTGATTCATTATTTTTATAGAATAATCAGCATCTTCTTCGCTCATATACTCACAAAAGCCATAACCTTGATGCGTTTGAGTAACACGGTCCTTCGGTAAATGGACGTTAACTTTTACAAAAAAAAGAATTATTTCAGTATAAAGAAAAGATAAAATAGCCGATAAAAGGATAAGACTTACCAACTGGGCCAGCCTGAAGCATTAGCTCCCAAATCAATGCTTCTGTACAGCGTTCGTCAAGGTTTCCAATGTATACAGTGGCATCTTGATTTCTTTCTTCAGTCGGACGCGACATTTTCGATAAGACTAACTGGCACTTAGTAAAACATTTAAACCAATGTCAATCACGTGACATTGCATACCCGAATTTAATATATAACAATTAACGATAAAACATACGAGATGCACATGCTACGTATGAACGAATCGCGCACAGCCAGAGATACCAAGGACCATAACATGTATTTTCTTGCGGGAATTGCTTGTGACTACAAACTTTACAAATTATTTGGTAACTATATGCGGATACCATCTATTTCTATTTGTGGTTTTTCCTTCATTACAAATAGCCACTTTAAAAAATAATTGGGGTCAGGGAATAGAGACCCCAAAGTTAAAATAGAACGCCTTTATGGTTTTTTTTTTTTTTTTTTAAAAAAAAAAAAAAACAAAACGTTGTGGCCGAGATTTTATTACTATAGTTAGGTAGATTGACTTGAGGGGCGCGGATTGGCAGTTGCACAACAGGCTGCGTTGTGTACAGGATTTATGCAAGCAAATGCGGCAGAAATTGTCCGAGTGCTTAAGAGCCCTTGCTTTATTTTCGGGGTTAGTACATTAGGGTACGTCAATAATAAATAGTTGGTGCGTCAGCAATACATAATGGGAATGGGACGAGAACATCTCGCTCAAGCTGTTGAGTCAGGTTACGCCTGACGCCGTGGCCTACCACCCTTGAGCTCCGTTCGGAGCTCATTGTACAATCATCTGTTAACTCTTGTTATCAAATGTTTAATTTTTTGTAGGAGAGAGCTTCAGACTTGAATACATTCTTATACGTAAAAAATTTTCTAGGTTTTATATTTTATAAAAATCAACCCAATAACGTCAAAAAAAAACTTCGAAGTTTCCGCTAATTCCCAACGGATCAGGATAATATAATATATTATTACTAATATCAGAATTATTTAATTTAACCAGTTAACTTTAATGGCGTACGGGACGTATTTTTTACAATAAGATTTTTTATTAGTTTAAATAATGTCGGGGATGATGCTGAAACAAGATGATGCTGAAACATTGACTTATTTAATATGAAAATTTAAATTTTTGGGGGAATGTTTTTTTAGCTTTTTTTTTGTAGTTAAGTTAGGGTTTAGGGCTAGTGTTTATAATAAAAAAGTATAGGTGGATTTTAGTAGGGTTTATATTTCTAAATTGAGACCCCCACGTTTCAGCATCATCTTGTTTCAGCATCATCCCCGACAAATAATAAATACTGCGACTTTTTACACTACTCTAAATTCTAAATTTATGACATAGTTATGAACGTGAGGCAAATCATTTGACTATAAGTATATTTATAAGAAGAGATGAATTTTAATGTAAAAAGAAATGAACTTTAACAGTAAAAGGAGATGGGTTTTAAGGTCGAAAGATGGGTTTTAAGGTGGGAAGATGGGTTTGACGTGATAATTATATTTTTATCAGTTTAATAAATGCGTCATAGTAATTCGGAGTTTTTAATTTTTGCCCAATTCCGAATGATATATATATGTTAAATTAAAAAGGTTTGTTATATAGTTTTTGTAAATTTAAAAATCTGGGTTATATCACCCCTTTTTTCCAGAACATTTTTGGAGATATAACTAAGGTAGGGATATAACTCAATATATAAAACATATAAAACATATGAAAAAAAGAAATTTATTTTGCTTAAACATGAGAATATAACTCAGTTATGACTGTATACAGTCAACTTCTTTACAAAATTAATATAATTACTATATATTAATACTGGTAATCATCACCAGTGATTAAAACAAAAATTTAATTCTTTTAGTATTAGAGTAAAGGTAAGAATATAATGTTGGGGTTAAGTAAAAGTTATAGTAAAATTTTGCAAGTAATTTTTTTTGTTATACAAAATTGATACAAATTAATTGGTTAATTATATACTGGTGATGATTACCAGTGGAGTAGTTAATATATACAGTATATATTGTTAACTATTTACATTAGACTGTTACCTATGTATGATGACATGATCAATTTGTTTTTGTCATCTACTTATAACAATGCAATCAATTTTTTGTTGTCACTCTAACACATATGAATAATAATGTAATTAAATTTTATCATTACTCAAATGGTGATACAATCAAGTACAAACACCTATGAAGTGTCATATTAAAATTATATATAATTGACAACACAAGTATAAATTTATTATCATTTGAGTAATAATGTGATTACTATTATATCACCGATAATGCAAGCATAAATTTATCGTCAGTAGATTAAGCAAAAAAATATATTTGATGATATATTCAATTATATATCATCATTTGTAGAATTATTCAAGTGATGATTAGTTTACAAATCTGTTATCATTTGAATAATGATAATATTATACATATGTTATCATTTATTCCTACTTAGTAGTCACTCAAAGTAAAATTTTAACATTATCTATATGCAATATAATGTATGCTAACTAGTAGTCATGGGTATATAGTGCTGAATTGTTAGTAATTGTTAGCTTTATATAATTTATTTAATTATCTTTTAATAATAAAGCATATAATGCCAAATTGTTATCATTTCTGATATATTTCTGGTTAACCCAAGGCATAATTTTATATATTATATATCTTTCTGTAATAATTTTAACTTGGAGTATTACTTTTTTTCGATCGAAAACTTTAAGATATCATTATCAAATATATATTAAAAAATATAATATACCAAAATATAATTTTATATATTATATATCTTTCTGTAATAATTATACCTTAGGATATTACTTTTTTTCAATGCCTATTTGTATAATATCCTAAAGCATAATTTTATATATTATATATCTTTCTATAATAATTAAACCTTGGAGGTATCATCTTTTTTTAGTCTTTAGTTAGCTTATATTAATATTTAAATTATATTTTTATATATTTCAGAATATCACTATATCAAAAACTTTGGGATATTGCTATATTGAAAACTTTGGAATATCACTATATATATTAATAATAAACTTTGAAATATCTTGGTTTAGGCTGCAGATAAACTAGTCTAAGTTTCTTTTCTTATTATCTTAGAATATGGAGTTTAAATATATTCTTTTCATTGTAAGAAAATCGAATTAAATTTCAATAAAGATAGAGACATGGTCTCATCATTAACATTCAAAAAAAAACTTTGTGATATTATTATTAAATATATATTAAAAACTGTAAACACTATTTATAATTAGAAAATGAAACTTTGGGTATTATTAATTCGAAAACTTTGAAAGATCATTTTTTTCGATATCATTTTTATTGATACCTTGAAGTATTATTTTTATTGATATCTAAATTAGATAATACAAAAATGATTATTGAATATGTACTTCATATAGCAGAAATACTTATCTAAAATTTATCTTAATCAAAATTGCATAACATAAAAATTTCTTTATATAATCTAGGTATCAAAGTATTACTTTTTTTTTTAAATTTTTTCCTGTACTTATTTGTAAGAAGTGACAAAAATCTCCTTACCTGAGATGAATAACTAAATGAATATAGCAATCTCTTTTTTTCAGAAATTACTACTTAACTATATAATATTATTATCTTGAAAGATATATTACACATATTCAATAAGGGCTAAAGAGTATTTTTGTAATTTTTTTTGTGTAAAGTGGTAGGAACCTTCATTTTTAGCCTCAAAATTGTGCTTATATTCCAAGAAATCAGCTTTATCTATACTCTCATACTCTTTTTTCAGTAATTATAATTATCCTATATTTCAAAGATAATCTTGGTTTGCTATTGTCCTAATTTTTCTTTCAATATTTGAAATTTTTCTTGTAAATGAAAGATAAGAGTATCAATATCAGATTCATTTTTAATAAGATATTTTAAAGATAAAGAAATTAAAGATTCAGATATTTCTTTCTTGATTTTGATAATATTTGAATTGCTTAGAATCATTTAATTAAATCTGAGTTAATACTAAAGAAGACAATTGTGATAATTTTGATATAAATTTCTTAATTATATTATTATAAGAACTTTCTTTACAAATCTCAATACTGGATTTTAAAATAATAATATTAGTGGTAATGAATATTAAATCAAAAAGTTTCCGAGTTTCATTGACTAATTCAAATTTATATGATAGAAGAATCAGATTTGAAAGCAATAATTAGAATCATTCAACTTTATAGCTTTATTCTTTCTTGAGTTTCAAAACTAGCTCCATTTTTTGGTACACGATAAATCCAATAAGTGCACTTTCATACTCATTGATCTTTTGGCTTCAAAAGCTTTTGTTCACTTTTGATAATATAATTACACCAATTACTTAATATTGTATTAATGAACTTTATTGTAGCATTAAAGTCAGATACTCCTTTAGCTCTCGTCTTAAAGTTAAAGAGTAACAATGCATCTTCTTGAATTTTAATGATTTTTTCCTATAAATGCTCAAAAGTCTTAGCTACATCATCATCAGAAAGAATATTTGTATTATTTATATCTTTGAAGCCTAATGATTAGACAAGATTATATATTATCTTCTATTGTTTTACTAAATAAAATTTATGTAAATTGACTAAGGATGGATCAATAGATTTGTTTGAATCTTTTTATTATATTTCTTTTTTAACTTCCAGATTTTTTATAGAATTTGTTGTATTAGAATTTTGCTTTCTAAAATACACCAGTCTTCTAAAATATTATAAAGGTTCAGAATTATTATATCTTAATACAAAATCAATACCACAAAGCTTAACCTAATCATCATTATTCATACTCCAGTTCCTAATATCATCTTTACCTCTAATATTATCTGAAGTATATATTTTTTACAGATAATGTTGTTGCAAAGTCATGTTATCAGTAAAAAAGTATATAAGGTTTTGTTTAAGAATTTTAGCTTTATCAGAACTAATATTTGGAGCATTAGCTATTGATTCTGCATTTGAGCTTTTAATCTTTTTCTCAATATTCTTAATAGTATGAGAAATTTTATTCTTATCAACTTTTTAGTATCTTTTACCAAAATTAATTCAAGTATTGCTCCAGTACT